AATATGGAATTATTAGAATGCGATCATCCTACTTTGCATAGTTTCTAGATTTTTTTTAAAAAGTCACACTTAAAAATGTTAGTTTTATTTTTGCAGACGTTGGTGTTGTAACTGTAGAAGATTTAAGTAAATATTCTCTTTTTGGAAGGCAACCTAGAGCCAATTTAATTTTTTCGTTTTTCTTGACACAGCAATTCTAAAAGTTAATTTGGTAAAAAGCTGTCTTAATATTGACCACAACCTTTGTAATTTACAAAAAGAGGAATTACAATGAGAGATGAATACTTTGGTAAATTATGGAACATCCGCTTTCAACTGTAACAGTATATATCAATGTAAAAGAATATACTACAATTGTTTTATAAATGAGAAAAGGTAACTATATTCTTCAGAGGACAAAAAAATGATCTGCAGGATAGTATATATATTATGGTCTTGTTATTAGAAGAAATTATAAACATTTTTTGGAAAATTGTGATCGGTTAAACAAGACATTTAGTTTGAACTAATATTGATTTGTGCTCATAGGTACAGAATGCCATGTTTTTGCATTTGCTTTTTTTTTTTTTTTTTGAGACGAGTCTGGCTTGGTCGCCAGGATGGAGTGCAGTGGCAAAATCTCGGCTCACTGCAACCTCTGCCTCCCAGGTTCAAGCGATTCTCCTTCCTCAGCCTCCCAAGTAGCTGGAACTAAAGGCATGTGCCACCAAGCCCAGCTAATTTTTGTATTTTTAGTAGAGATGGGGTTTTACCATGTTGACCAGGATGGTCTTGATCACCTGACGTTGTGATTCGCTGGCCTCTGCTTCTCAAAGTGCTGGGATTACAGGCGTGAGCCACTGCGCTCAGCCTGCATTTCTTAATTTTACTATCTTTATATCATAATCATGAATATCTATATTATAAAACAGATGTTGATCTTAGAAAAAAATTAGGTATGATGATGTATAAGTTCATGGTATAATAAATGCAAAATAGGCTGTTTTCTTTTAGAAAATAAATATACTGCCGGGCGCGGTGGCTCAAGCCTGTAATCCCAGCACTTTGGGAGGCTAAGGCGGGTGGATCACGAGGTCAAGAGATCGAGACCATCCTGGTCAACATGGTGAAACCCCGTCTCTACTAAAAATACAAAAAATTAGCTGGGCATGGTGGTGCGTGCCTGTA